ATTGATAAGGATTTTAGGACATATTAGCAAGCTTGGATCATTATTGTTATTGACAGGTCTGTATTGTTGTATTATTTATCAAAAATGATAAAAACGCTTTAAATATAAACCAATATAGAGGGGGTTTTTTGTTTTGTTTTGTTTTGTTTTTTTGGAGCAACCAGTGCTGTCCTGGTCCTAAGTGAAGTTGTTCTGCAGAGGTAAAATAGGAAGTTGGAATCTATAGATGACCAGTGATTTGGTTCCAGGTTCAGAGAAGAATGTCTATTAGTCCCTGAATCAAGACAACTAGATTAGAAAAGCTGTCTTTGCAGCATGAAGCTACTCTGCTCAAGAATAGGTAGTCTTCTGAATCAACAGAACCTCCTAACTTCTGAACAGCAACTCAGATGAGCAATCAAAGTCAACTAATGAGAAAAATACAAAGTATGAGAGTGAGAATACTTACATAACATGTGATTTTAGGGGCTGGGGATTTAGCTCAGTGGTTCCAGGGCCTGTCTCACAAGCACAAGGGCCTGAGTTCAATCCCCGGTACCAAATACAAAAAATAATAAATAAATAAATAAAAATCATCTCACCAAAGTGTCAAAGAAATTAGTTTTATATGACAAGGTTGCTACTTGAAAAATAAGAAAACTTTAGAAACCAGACATTCTGTCTCCTTAAGTGCTAAAATAGTATAACAAACAGCAAGATAAAAACATAAGTAAACAAAATCTGCCAGAAAATATTCAATGGTAAAATACACATTCACATTTTAGAACAGCAAATTAATGATAGGATATATTGGATAAACATGTCCATATCCAGAAAGCACACTATATTATAAAACAAAACAAAAAAACTCACAATATTTTTAGGTGATTGTATGGAAGCTGCAAAAATGAGAATAGTGAGACAAGTTCCAAGAAGAAAGTAAACAGAACACGACTGCAACATAAGAAGAGAGAGTATAATCTGGGAGTGGCAGAGTTGGCAGGATGTAAAGCCAGTATTCTGGTTGTTGCACTACAGTTAATTTATCAGTTTTGTTTTTTGTTTTGTTTGAGATAAGGTCTAACTGTATAGCCCAGAGTGGCTTTGAGTTTGCAGTGATCCTCTTGCCTCTGCCTGCCGAGGGCTGGGAGTACAGCTATGCACCACCAAGTCTGGCTGCAATACTGCTCTAGCAATACAAATCACATACATTTTGCCTTCTAGCTGGTACAGAATAAAGAAGTGATGCAGACCCTTAAGGGCAGTGAGACTGTTACAAAGGAAATAAAGCAGCATAAAAGAACACATAGTGAAACACAGGTCATGGCAACTTCATAAAGATGACCAGGGAAGACCCAGGAGGAGGCAATTTTGAGTAAAGATCAGAATGAAGACAGAGATGGAGTATCCAGGCACATAAAGATGGGTATAGAGTAGGAAGGTACAGAGTGAAGTGTAAATGTTTTTATTTTTTCCTTTTTTCATTTTTGGTTCATTTTAGGTACACAATACAGTTATATTCATCACTGGGATCTTGTACCTTTACATGATGTATCTTGGTTCTTTTTGCCCCGTTCCCCTGCCCTTCCTTCAACCCCTCCACCCTTCCCTAAAGTCTCTGTACATATTTTTATATTTTGGAATAATATGACCGAAGATGGATCCTTTGAAACATTTCCATTTGTAATCGTAGATATAATGAAAATTATATAAACCATGTAATTTAATCAATGATATTGAAATATTTTTCACATCCCATCCATTTCAAAGGCTAATCTCTTCTCTTGCCACCAAAAGATTGCCAGTGAACTTTCTATATCTATAGCATGACTTGAAATTTTTCTTTACATGCTTTTTCTTCTGACTATCTGAATCCAGGAACTGTGTGAGGTGAAAGTGAGCAGGCTAGCCTGGTAGTTTAAGACACATCTAAGTTTAAAAGTTTTTCCACGTACAACACAATTTTGTAGAATGTTTAAAGTTTTTGTAGTGACTTTTGCCAAAAGTGAAAAAACTGCAGATCTAAATCCTCCTGAAACCCAAGAACAATTTTACATCCTACAAATTAAATGTGTAAAACTTACTACATATGCATTCTCCAGTTTAGTGGAAGTTGTTGGAAATAATTCAAGTGGCTGAAATAGTTGTATATAGCTTGGCTTGTAAGTCATGAAAGGATGACTCTGCTCAGCCTGAACCACAGCCCCTTCTGGTAAGGCCATCCCCCTGCCTCAGGTGTCCTCATACACAATCAAACTCACTGTCCTGTCTGCCCCATAGCAGTTCTTCCATACTCCTTTCCTACTGCTAAACTGTCTGGTACCTATATGCATTTTCTTATGTCTTCCTCTTCCCATAGGCAGATTGCGAGAAACTTTTAATTCATCTTGATTTTCCATCCTTAACATGGTGCCCAGCACTCATATGTTACTTAAGAACTTTGTGATCAATTTTGTGCATCCTGTTAGGAAGTTGAGCAAGATAAACCCTGCCTAGACTAGTTCACAGCCAGAGAGACAATACGTGCATGAACAATTAGTCTACAGAGTGACTGATGCACTCAGGAACTTATACATCAGGCCTGAAGTCACATTTCTGAGGAAGTAACTCTTGAGTCGAGTTGTTCAACAAGCATTAAGTGTTAACTCTGCAGTAATGTGCCAGATGGCTAGAGAGTACAGAATTGAATAGAAAGAGCATTTACCTCCTCTCTGAGGATTTACAACCTGGAATTAATAGTTTGAGTAAGAATGCACAGGTAGTAAATAAAAGAAGCAAGGCTGATAGCCAGTTTGTTGAACACTTAAAATACTCAATTCGACACCAGCACTAAGCAGGAGCAACCACAGGTATCTTCCATTTGTTAATTGTTCTGCCTCCCCTCAGTACCCCAGTCCCATCTTCCAGGGTCCTCAGACTTCCAGTGTGCTGGCAACGAAAGGATCGATACCCTTGAGCACTAAATATTTTACATGTTATCCCAGGGGATGCACGTTGCCTGGGGAAAGGGATTAGAAAAGTTGAAATAACACTGAGAATTTGGCAAACAGCAGTTAAGGGCCAGAGCATGAAGTTCAAGCTGGGGAGGGCAGGAAATGGAATTGAAGAGAAGGGCAATGAAGAGCACTGAAAGATTTTAAGCAGATCTGCTTTTTAAAAATAATGTGACTGAGTTTAGCACGAAAGTGTTCACTGATGTTTGTTCAAAGAGTGATCATGGTGCTAATAAACTATTAGCAGTAACAAATGTTCTTGTTATGCATGCTTTTTGCTATTGCTCTTTCTTTTCCTGCTTGCTAATGATGAGAGAGCACCCACATTTGCAAGATAGCTAGTCATTATTTGGGATCTTGTCTGCTGATGAAACAAGCAAAGAGACCAAACGAGCAGAAGGAATTGATCCAGAGACTGCTTCCATCAGCAAAAATCTCTAAGAAGAGGGAAGGCAGGCTTTATAAATGCTATAGACTTGTATGCAGGGAATTTGCCTCCTATTTGTACAAATTCCAGAATCCATTTTTCTACTATTACTCCCCTTTTCAACTGGTGATTTTGGTAATACAAAGTTGGACTCTGAGTAACCACTGAGGGAAATTCAAACTTGGTTGATATGGAGTGATTTTTTTTTTCCATTTCACTTAGAACTTTATATCAAATAGTGATTGAATGACATGGGGATTTAGCTCAGTGGTTGCACCACCTGCCTTCTTGGGGATCCCAAGTTTGATCCCCAATACCAAAAATAAAAAAACAAATAGTGATCGAATGCTGACAAATAAGTTTATTCATCACTCTCAACAGGCCTGAAATCCCTCAAAAGGTTTGAATTAAAAATAGCCAATAAAAAGGTTTGATTGTATGAGAGTATTGATGGAATTGGTTCTCTATTACTTAAATCCCTTATTTCCATAAGAGACAACATGTTTCGCATTAATGGATGTTCAATTAGATAATAAACATCTAAATTAAGACTTGAAAATAGTTCACTGTTCTTCCTAACTGGCAGTCATTACACTGCAGATATTGTCAATTATAATATGATTCAATCATTGCATGCATGTGTTTCCATATTCTAATAGTTAGTGACAAATTATTTTCATTGAGTAATTTTCAAAATCATTTAGCACAAGGGCTAAAATCAGAACCCAATAAAGTATGTACACCAAATTATCTTGAATTTACCTCCTTCAAGACAGTGGAGTACTAATCAGTCACAAAGGATAAATCTGAGTCATTTGTAGGAAAATGAATGGATTTTGAGAAGACAGAGGCAATAAATTATAGTCACGGGAGGTTAAATACCTCATGGTTTCTCTACTATGAGAGATCTAAGATATAAGTAACAAAGACAGCAATGTAAAAGAGATGTGTTCGAAAACAGGGAGCCGGACACACTAGAAAAGGAAGAGGATCTGGAGGAGGGAGAGGAGAGGGCAGGGTGAGAAAGCAGAGTAAAAATAGTCGAGATAATGCGGGCAAAAGTTCTTTGTTTCTTTAGAGACTCAAATAGGCCTATGGTGAACACTTTTAAGGAATACGTATGTCATGGTCCGCATTTCCAAAACGACCCTGCGTACAGAGAATTAACAACAACCTGCCTGGAAATGGTTTCAGAACCATGTATCTCTATGCTTTGTGATTGTGAAACATTGACTTTTGTAACCCAAAGTGAAAAATTGTTTAGTAAAGGGGATCTATTTTGTGTGTTTTAAAATTTAGGTGCAACGACCCCTGGCAAAAGCTAAAGAACTGTATATGTTCAGTAACATTTTAAAATAAAGCTCTCTCTCTCTCTCTCTCTCTCTCTCTCTCTCTCTCTCTCTCTGTATGTGTGTGTATATATATATATATAAAATTGATCCAGATATGAGTGTAATTACTATGTATCAGAAACAAAGTAATAATTTTTGTTTTAAAGAGACAGGTGCTATTCAATCCCTGGTACAAAAAAACAAACAACAAAAGACAGGTGTGATATGTTCAGATATGTTCATATGCCTAAAGGGTTTTGTCCTGGCAATAAACAACAGGGCACCAACAGTTAACACAGAATCGAGTGTCACTTACTACTGTTCAAGATTTTTAATTTTTCCTTAAGAATACAGATCCTCCACATGAGGTAAACGTTTCTGGCACAGCGCCGCCATGTGGGGGCTCTTCCCCTCCGAGGTTCCTCTTGGACCCTGCTCTTCCAGCCCCAAGGCCAGCAGCTCAGGGGGGCCTGGATGTCACTGGTCTTCACTCTGCACGGGTGAGCGCTCTGGAGGAAGAAGAGACTCCAGTTTCTGCCAGCGCTCTGGAGGCCACAGGATGTGTGTGGCGTGGGCATGCAGAAGTCCCAGGGAAACCTGGAACAATGGGAAACACAGAAAAAATAACGAAGAAACAATTTTGTACAGGTCATCCCTGATACCGCGAAAATCAAATCTGATGCGGGTCTGACATGCCAGGGAAAGACGGCGGTGGTTAAGAACAGTAAATACTTACACAGACCTTTACAGGTGCTTCGTGTATATTAATAAGCATCTTTAATCCTTTTAAGAACCATTTGGGGTATGTATTATTTCCGTTTTATAGATCAGAAAAGTAAGTCAGCAGAGGTTAAGGACTTGGCCATGTGGCTGCCAAGTGCTGAACTCTGGTTTTAGCCTGTTTATATAGATGTAGGAGATACAGATCTACTTCTCAGTTTGGTTTCAGAACTTCTGACAGAGTTCCTGAATCTTACAGAGAGTTTCCTGTATGAAAAAGAAACTATAGAGATCTGAAAAAAAATACACATTTTGTGAAAAATATGGTCTCCATACTGCATGAGGAGCAAAGGCTCCACAGACAGCACGGTGAGCAAGGCAGCACCAATGGCCACGGACAGAGGTGGAAACAAAGGCCAGCCTGACGGTGGGCTAAGAAGGGAGGGAAAAGTGTAGAGATTCTGGCAGATGAAAAAGAACCCCAGGAACAGAGATCTGCCAGGAGGCAAGAGCAGGTAAGGGGGGAAAACCGCCTGGAGGGCTTAAGACTAATTTCAGAGGTATAAAGGAACCCTTAAATAGTTTAGTCTCTGTGAAGACATCAACTTCAGGAAGCAAAAGAATGTGGCAGACTTATTTAAAGCATGGATCAGGGCGCTACAATGGGAGATCCCTTTTTGGCTGGTCTGAGAGGAATCTGGAAACCTGTGTCTTCTTATTACTGTTAATACCAGGTAATATTTTAATAGTATTTAGAAGTTTACAAAACATTCGAATTTAACTCCTACTAATTGGGTAGCAGATAATACCACGTGTCCATTTTGTCATTTTATTTTTGAATGTTTTCCTTATATATATTTTCACATAATTAACATACAAATACTCTTCTAGTAAAAGCTTCTCTATGAACAGGAGCATTTTAAAAAATCAATTTGCCCAGACACTCAAAGTAGGAACTAGACATTACAAAGTGACTCCCCAGAGATAACCAAAAACACAGTGTAGATTTGGGGTGTACCAGGAGATGACCTTACCAAATTGAAATATTAACCAATGAACCCACAGGGTAATAAGAAGCCTATGAGCTCAATAAAGAACTTTCTTCTGTGACTTCTTTTGAAAAATCAAAATAGAAAATTTGAAAGTACAGTACAAAACCAGCTCCATTCACCAAAAGCCAAACAATTATTGACATTTGGCTGCATTCATTTCTCTCTCATTGAATGTTTATATATGTATAGGTATAGACACATTTTTTTCTGAGCTATGTGAAAATTATTGATATCATGCTGAATTTACCCATAAAAACTTTAGCGTGCATCTCTTACAAACTACCATCATTTCCTATATGAACCCAATATCATCATATGCAAGTTATTTAATGTTAATACAGCAATATTACTTAGTATACAGTCTACATTAAAATTTTTCCATTTGTCCCAACAATGTCATCTTTTGGCTATTTTCTTTTCTAAATTCTTCATGTAATCAAAGATCACAAATTGCAATTGGTGGTCATTGGTTCACTTCCATTTCCGGTTAGTTTATGTTAACTTGGTGGGCAAAATAGTTATCCTACAACATGCTCCATATCTAGGATTGCCTGATTCATTTCTCTCATAAACAGATGTAAGTTAAATGTTTTTGGCAAGAATACAATATATACTTAATATTGCATTTTTCCTTTCTATCACATTGGGAGGGACATAAAATAGCAGTTTGTTCCACTGCTGTAATGCTAAGTTTGGTAGCTTGACAAAGGTGACGGAGAACACGTTTCATCATTCATAAGCACACCTTTTTCCTTTTGTAATTAGCAAGTGATCTGTGGGATATTCTGAAATGTCAGCAGCATTTCACCTCTGAGTTTTATTGTGCATTGATGATCCTGCCTTAATTAGTCATTACATGGGGGATTACAAAACCAATGCTTTTTCTCCATGTTTCTTTTATATTTATTAGCTGGCATTTTTCTCTAAAAACAAGTGCTTTCTCTTTCTCAGTCCCAATTTCTTGTATTTTAATACTGAAGATTTTTTTTAAGTCAAAATCTATTAGTTTCTTTTTCCTTGGATGCTCAATGTGTTTACCTTGTACCTTATGCCTGTTTCACGTGCAAATAGATATTTCCTTAAAGCATCTTATTTTCTTATAGCAGGGAATATCATTTAGAAACCAAAGTCTGCTACTAGATTTGCTTGTAGCTCCTGGGTGTCAATATTCTGTACCATTTCAGAGAATGAACAGCACCAAAAGGCACTCCACCTCTTCAATTCTATTTTCTTTCCTTTGCCCAAACTAAGCACCCCAGCTCCCTGCCACTTAACACGTTCATTCTATGTTCCTAACACACACACACACACACACACACACACACACACACACTACTTTTAGGATGAATATAACCGCCATCCCTCACACACACACACACACACACACACACACACACACACACACTACTTTTAGGATGAATATAACCGCCATCCCAATGAATTCACTGAGCAAAAGTCAAGATTGCTTAGCAATTATTGTGGCTATTTTATTAGTTCATTTTGTGTTCCCAGTAACTGAATACTATTGACTGGTGAGTTAGAAAGTAGTTTCTTTCAGCTCATGGTTCTGGAGGTGCAAAAATGAGGAGTTCCATCTAACGAGAGCCTGACGTGGCACGGGACACAACAGTAGGAGTCAGGACTGCCTGTATATATGTGACCATCTGGTCTTCTTATAAAGTCACTGGGATTCAGTCATGGGGTTCATCCTAGACTCTCATCCTAACCTTCCCACAAAGGTCCCACCTCCAATCACCACAGTGACATTGTTTCTACCCTCTTAATAGTGTATAATGCGGCTTATCCTCCAGCATGAGAAGGGGGGAAGAAAATAATTTTCTAAACCCAGTAGTTCTTAAAGCACATCTCATTTTAAAGGATTTGGCCAAGTCCTACGCTCCAAGTTAATTAGTTTGAATCAATTCCTTATTTTTCCTTCCAACATATACAATGGACCCTCGAGTTACAACTGGCCTAATATACAAACAACTTAAGTTACCACCAGAATTTTAGTTTTAATGTATGAACAAGGCATTAAATTATGACCCAAATGCCCACCGCTTATGCTTCCAGATGGTCTCAGATACAGATTTAACCCTTAAGGAGCTCTGGAAGGAACATTACCACATCCTTACCTGTGTGACATTAAATGAGAAATCCTGGGGCAGTGTCTAAAGACACTGAGATCTGCCTGTATACAGAAGGATGAAGGCTGTGGAGAGGAGCCTGAGCCTTCAATTGACCAACTTGAGTTACAATCTGGAGAACAAACAGTTTATAAGTCAAGGGTCCACTGTAGTAAGTTACTGTATCATTTAGAGGTTCCTTTGCTTCTATTTTTACTCAGCTTTCAACTCTGCTTTTGTTACTTTGTTTGTTCCAGAATTATTCTTCAATACATAAACTTTTATATGGTTTAAAAGTAAAAATTATTTTGAAAAAGTGTATTAGACACAATAATGCCTCCTCCCCAAATGCCCGCATACTAACTGCCAGAAGTTGTGAATATTACAAGGCAATGGGAAATTGAGGTTGCTCATCAGTTGAGATTAAAGATAGTATTTTGCATGATAAAAAGGGCTCAATTTCAGCACAAGGGTCCCTACATGTGAAAGGTAGGTAGAATATATTCTAGAACATCCTCAGTACTGATGCTAACAGTGTAAAGGCCAGGAGAATTTCCTAGGCCTAAATGATCTGTCCTAGCATACTGTAGTTTTCATCTAGGTTTGTTCTAGTTTGGACTCAACTGAATTTGACAACAGCTGGTCTCCATCTCTTCCAAAATAACCCTTTTTAGATTTGATAACTGCTACTCGGTTCTATCTCAAGCCTTTCCCTTGCTTTTCCAAGTTGTTTAACTTTTTTCATAGGGATGATTTGCCAATCTTTTAAGTTGGCTGAACTCTTGCCAATATTTGCTTGCTTGCTTAGTTTGAGAGCTCAGTTTTGGACACAGTGATTTAATTCTGGCTTTTAAATCAACACTTATTTTCCCGAAACTAATTTATGGTTCTTTGATTCCAAACATTTATTAAAGACACCAGTCTTGCTTCCTGAAAAACAAAATCTTCAAAATTATGAATAATTATAAACATTCTATCAGATGGATATCCATATTGAATATAAACATGATATGAAGATGTAAAATCCAGTTTTATTTAAAATGCTGAGACTAATATAAAGAAAAGAACCTATTCACTAACTTCATTATCTTGTCATGGATGTTTATTTTTTGTTGATAGGTCCACAGTCATGCAGAATACAGTGAATATAAAAGGATATAAAATCCAGAAATATATGAGCATCTTCAAATTAAAAGTTAGGCTGCAGGAACAGCTTTGCCTTCCACACCTGCGGTATTAATTAGCGTTCTCCAGAAAAACAGAACAGGATGTGTATATATAAAGGCAATTTATTTTAAGGAATTAGCACATGTGATTGTGGAGGCTTGGCAAAGTCTAAAATCTGATGGGGAAGACTGACAGACTGAAGACGCAGGGAAAACATGCACTTTGAGTGCAAAGGCCATCTGTGGGCGAACCGGGAAGAGCTGAGGCTGTGGATGTGGTGCCAGGCTTTCTGTGGGCTCATTTCTTCTTGCTCAGAGAAAGTCAGCCTCCTCCTCTGTTCACTCCTTCCACTCATTGGAGGGGGCCACCCACACTAAAGGACAATTTGTTTTACTCGGCACTCACTGATTTAAAATGTAAGTCAACCCCAAAATACTCTCACAGAAACTTCCAGAGTGTTTGACCAACTATCCAGGCACCATGGCCCAGCCAAGTTAACATGTAAAATTAATCATTCTCCTCTTCGTCCTCC